AGTGGATTTATTTGTGCATGCTAGCTGATAAAAAAAGAAAGAAAAAATTAAATAAAAAAATAAAAATTTCAAAATAAACTGACACATATGCGTCCACAAGGGAATTTCAAAATAAAACAAAAGAAAATTTGATTGTGTGGCAAAATTTTGAAAATTGTTTGGAGGAAAAAATTGTTTTTTATAAATTTTAATGATTTTTAATTAAAAGCCAAAAAGAAGTAATCTGCCTGTGAATTTGGAAATAGATTAGTTCCAGCCTTGCTGAAGCCAGTCCATTGTCATTGCGTCTTTAACGTCGAAAGCATATGAAAGTGAAGATAATAATACGTGTTATAACGTGAAAATATTGGAAATATTTTAATTTACTCAACAACATATGATTGCTCTTCTTGCATACATATTAAAATCGGTTCAACTGCATAGTTTCGTGCAAATTGCTTATAAATACATGCATACATATCAAAGCACAGGTCCTTTGTTAGTTTTGTGCCTCTTGTGGGATTTTGTGTGTGAAGTGCTATTATTCTGATTGTTGTTGGCTGTGTTTGGCCAAAGTGTTTCAGCTGCTGCTGCAGAATTTTGTGGCATCTGCTTCTGCTGATTTAATTACATTCATGGATGCCCAATGCAAATTGCTGCCAAAACTAAAGCTCAGTTTCAACGTAATGGGCTGCTTGTCTGGGAAACAGAAACATGCCGATTCTGCTACAAGTAAATATTAACAAAAAAATTTACAGTTATCTTATGCAAAAATAAGTACATATATTTTACGTAATAAAGCTAAGCCCAATATGTGCATGAGGGTATCCGAGAACACAAGTAGTGAATTTTTTTGCTCAGAAATTCGATATGCATATCTTTTAGATATTTTCCTTTCGACCTAAATGACAAATATATAAAGTTTTATTTATGTAGGATGACCAATAACGACCTGCAGATAAAGCTTCGGTGCACAACTTGCACTGAGCTATGTAACCACACGGTGCGACAAAATTTTAATTTCACAGCAACAACATTAAAGGATACACTTTTCATTTTGTTACATTAGATCGTGTTAAAGCAACTTTAAGACGAGCTAAATATTTTGGGTATTTTCGGGTAGAGATATGCGACTTTCTCGTTGCAGCTGAAGCTATTCTTCCGGAGCCGGTTGAACCACGATAACGCATTCACGGGGCGAGAGTTGGTAAAAGTGATGGTTGTCTCTTGGTAAATATTGACTGAGGCCTGTCTGTACAATGTTGGGTCCAGTGATTGTGCGATGTATGTATGTCTGGATTTCGTCCATGAGTTCGTAGGGAGCTTGGTAGGTGGATCTGCTGCCAGCAAGTGACTGTTCGGCAGTTTACAGTTAGCAGCCGAATTGCTTCCTGCTATGAAAGTGATATTCAAGCGACATGAGAATTCATCTAATTGGTGTGTTTTGACCATGGGATCAAAAATAATAGTTACCTTAGAAATTTAAACTCAAAAAGTCAGACGGAAAGTATTTGTCTTTTCAAAATTCAAAGTGATGCTTGTTAGCCAAGGAAAATTAATTCTATATATGTATGTATATGAATTAAATCAAAAATTAACAGTTATTTTTTTACTGATATTTTCGATTCGGTCAAAAATAAAAGTTAGAACTTGACTTTTATTTTTTCGGTCAAATATACAAGTTAAAATCGGACTTTTATTTCTTCGGTGAAAAATAACCGTTAAAATTTCACTAACATTTTTTGGTCAAAAATAGCTGTTTTTATATTCACAATGGAATGTGGCTGTTCACATTACACTGGTTATCAGGTTATCTGGTTAAGAGTTATTTCTCTATTGTATGTTTTGTTGTTGTAAACTGAATACAAAAAAAAAAAAGTAAGAAAGTCTAAATACCCGGCGCAACTATCAAATATATGTTTTTCACCTTTCCGAAAGCTATCGCTACATGGTAAACCGGGGTATATCCATTTTGAGTAAATTACCGTCCTTAAATTTCAAAATATTGAAGTTTCAAGCATTTCTGAAATTTACTGTTATATGAAAAGCGGCCGTAATTTTAGTCCGAATTCAATAATATTCAACGTTTTGCTTCTATGTGGCAAACACACCGAGTTTGGTACAAATTGGTAGAACGGTTACCGAGATACATATATCGACTGCTGAGTGGAAGATCGACCTATCTCGGCAGCCAGTTCGAAAACGCCCTATCTCAAAAAACTTTTCACTAACGCTCTATTTCAGAATTTTGTTGAAGAACGCCCTATTTCANGATTTCGTATTTCTCTAAATTACTGTTATATGGGATGTGGGCGTGGTTATTGTCGGTTACCAAGGTTAACAATGTGCAGAGTTTGGAAGAAATTGGTGCAGCGGTTACCAAGATATACACATGTAACCATAAGTGGGCGTGGCTACGCCCATTTTCCAAAAATTTATAATATTCTTATTTTTCGTC